CCGGAACGACGAGGAGAGGGCTGCGATTGAGGCCCGGGGCTCCTCGAAGGCTGCCCGGGCTCATTGGACTTAATGTTCGGGGTCGAGTCACGAGCTCTTTTCTTCCCCTCTGACGGGGCCGGTGGTTTGGCCTGGGGGCCCTTGGCCTTTTTGTGAACATTTGCAAGAAGTGCCGCGGGGTTGAAAGACATCTCGACTTCTGCAAGAAAAATACAAGTCATTAGCTCGATCTAAGTTCGAGCAAATAGCAAAAACAGTGAGGGTTTAACTCATACCCTCGATGCCCCTCACGTTGGTGAGCTCGAGGGTGTCTGTCTCAAGCAAGAAATCCACTTTGGCTGCTAGTGGCTCGCAATTAACTAACCTGAGCCTAACTCTCTCCAAAGCCTCGAAGTAGGGCTGTCCCTCATTAAACCTATCTTTATCGGGGACTGACCACATCGACCTAAAAGGATGGTCGAAATATCTCTCTTTCCAGCCACGAAGGGAGCTCGGGGTGTTAGGCGTCCTAAACCCTCCCTTCGCCGACAAATACACAAAACAATTGAACCCCGACGAGTACTTTAAGTCGTACACCATCCTCAAAAGGTCAGTCCTAGGTTCTACCCCGAGACACCTACACAGGATGAAGAAATAGACTAGTAGCCTCCAACCGTTCGGGGCTAGTTGACCTGGGCATATCATGTACGAGGTCAAGAAATCAAGGAAGAAAGAGTGTAGTGGCCACACCTAAGCCCCGCCTTCAGAGCATCCCTAAAAAATGTTATCTCTCCATCCCGAGCATCCAACACGATTTCGTTGGGCCTCGGGGTTCTCACATCACAAGCAGGCATGACCCCCAACTCCCTCGCAATTTTAATAACCACGTGTTCCTTATACATGGTCGGTATCCTAGGGTAGGTCATTATAGCCTCGACCTCGGGGTGCGAGTCGATGGGCACTGCCATTGGTATCAAAGATGTGGTTTCGGGGTCGGGGTCTCTAACGTTTGAACTCCTAGACGTTTGGTTACTACTACTACTCCCACTCGATCCCTCGCTACTGCTACTTGACATTATAAGTAAATTAACTTAAGGGCTCGAACGTTTACCTCTCCAAAGATCGACGCTCACCAAACACTCTACGCTTCCGAACTCGGACTGCTGAAGGTTGAGAGTAAAAAGTTGAATGTGAAAATGAAAGGTGAAAACAGTGGGTATTTATAGGGGTCAAAGGGGAAGGTGAAAAGTCGCCTCATCCTGATCCTCCACTCTGCCACGTGTCACCCATCCGTGGACCACTCCTCTAACTTACACGTGGCCGACGCATGGTAGCCCAGCTGTCACTCTCCAAGGCCCATCAGATCTGGCCCAAACCCACTCGTACCTCAGTGCATCTGGGCTCGTAGTTCCAGGGACCAGAACAGATAAGGCCCAAATGCACGGGGGCCTATGATATTACAGGAACCCAACCTCGACGATTGGGCCCGATAGATTTAATATGACTAAGAAG